CTTCTCTCTCTCTCTCTCTCTCTCTCTCTCTCTCTATATATATATATATATATATATATAAAAGAAAAACCTAAAAAATGCCTATAGGCAAAATATTGCAGTGTTTCGCCACAGCCACAGATTTGCTATGTCCGTAGCGGTTAATTGAACAGACATGAAACTGACGGCACTGTCCGTTGCGGTTTTGCGTGAATTTTTTGACTACCATGGACCTAGTATTTCTGTTACGGTGCCGCCACGGACTGTGGAGGTCGAAAAACCGCGCGATTTTTTCGGATGGTGATGAGCTTATGAGCGAAAACACTGTTCATTTTCACCCATATATATATATATATATCGAACTACGCAAGTTTTAATGGTCTTCCCATCATTATAAACTACCTTTGAAATTAAATCATGAAACATCTCTCCACATTATAGTTAACAAATTAAAAAAAAAGAATCTCTTCAGATTGTTCGAATTTATAGGGGTGTTCTTAGTTTTCTTGGATAAGATCCCAATTAAGCATTATTTTATGGACATAAAATTTTGCTTAAAAACAATTTCTTTGACCATTTTTAGACAATTTCCTTCATTCTTTCCTTGCTTTCAGTAATCGAACCGAAGCACTTAACGGCCATGCCATCTCAAAGTGGGCGAGTTGCATTTTTTGAAAAAAATTCTCAATACATCTTTGTGAGACAGTTTAAATTTTGAAGTTCAAACAAATCCAAAGTGAGGGTTTGAGGATCATCTTCATTAAGAGAGAGCCCATGTTTTAAGATGTAATATTTTTTCCATTTGGTATTGGTGATTACTTTGCATTAGTAGTCCAACCTTTTTTGGAAATACATCTTCCAATATATCTATTTTTTAGTGAGATATCAATACATAATTCCTACTATTCTCCTGGGATTACTAATGTGATCACCCTAGAACTAAAAGTATTATATATATGTATGTTGTCCTACCTTTATCAGTACAAACCCAATTTATCTAATATTAAGGCATCAATACACAGTTCCTGCTATTCTTAGAGTAATCATGTGATTACCATAGAGCTTAAAAGAAAAACATATACATACGTATGTATGCGTATATGTTGATAGAGAGATAGAAACCATTTTGCATTATGTGCTGATAGAGAGAGAGAAGCCATTTTGCGTGCCACATGATAAATGCTGGACTACTATTTGAAGGCTTTTGCTCTTTTTGTGTTTGTTTTTATAGGTTGTGAATGTTTTTATTTTCTTTCACACCTGTAAGCATCTATAAAAAAGTGACATTTGGCTATTGAATTGCAGGATTTCAACAGAGCTTGCTGGTTTGTCTAATCAACCACATGGAGGTACCGTGCAAAACACTAGCAACAACGAGCGCTTATTGCAAACAAATACTTCCATTTCTGGTGATCTTTTCGGTGACGTCAATCAACGTACAAATAAGTACAGTACTACATCCTTGGACTTTTTTTTCTGACCTTCTTTTGGTTGCTAGGGGAGTAGACTACGTTACAATTGAGTATTTTAATGTCATAGTTGTTATTAATAATATCTTTTGCATGTGAATGTAATCGTCACTGTACTCGGAATCCTTTCAGATGAATATCTTTAATGATATCATTTATCAAGCGTAAATACTAATGTGAAAAGAGGTACTTCTTAGAGTAATTGTGCTATAGAAAGAGATCACCATGGTGTCTGATTTACGATTGGGAAAATAACATAATCTAATTGTTTCCTCAAATGTATATCCCGGTTCACAGTTATTCTATCTGTTGAACATACTTTTGTAGGAGACAGGTGTGGTTGGGGTGGTGGTGTTCTAACAGCAGGGTGGAAGTTGTTAGTTGTTGTGTGATCTTAAATTAGCAAAATAAGTAACAAAAGTCTACGTCTTACTGGTCAGGGGTCACATGCTGAAGTTTTTTCTGCTTAAAAGTTGTATTTATAATTTGTAAAGAACTTCTGGAAACTATAATTGAAGAGTAAGAAATGGAGGAAAATTGACATTCATAATTTTTTTTTAAATTTTTTGGAAGATCAAACTTTGTGACAGGTTCAGCCTCCTTGTTGCCTCCCTCTGATTGTCGGAGACTTATCTTTTCAGTTAAGTGGAATGTTATGAGCTCCTTTTATTATTTTTTGGACTTATTTTGCACTTCATTTTTATCAGGAATGGAGCAGATAAAGGGCTACTGGCAAGCAATTTGTATCTAGCTAAGGTATGATGTTAGTTTCAATCATCTTACATATTACAGCAAAGCATTGCTAAGCAATGTGCCATGGGGGACAATGATAAAATATTATATCATCTGGTGTCTCACTTTATATTTAGGCATGGCTTGAAAGTTCTCATCCAATGACAAGAAGTAGATCCTCAGAACTGCGGTAAGATACTCTTTCCTATAAATATTTTGATCCATTCATTATGTTGTAAAACTAAATGTCTTTATAAACTGTGAAAATAGGAAATGGTTTAATTAAATTAATAAGGCCGTTTGTAATTTGAATTGATTTAATGCAATCATTACCAATCAACATAATAAGTACTACTGAGATATTTTTGGGTACATATTGGCAAGAATGCAATAGCTAGAGTGCGGGTGCGGTGTTGCTCAATAAAGATCCATGCTTCTCCAGCTAATGACCTATATACTAATCAAAGTTCATATCTTATTCATTTCATCAAAATGACTGTTCAAATTACAATGAATATGGTTTGCTAGAGCAAAAATTCTAAGTTCAGGTTTACCTTTTTGGAAATGGTGAAAACTGATAAATCGCAATAAACTAATAAATGAAAAAAGAAAAGCGAATGGTGATTACTGGAACGTACCTATTGTCTTAGTATGGAAGGTCAGTTGGAACCAGAATGTACCAGTGAATTGGCTGGTTCAAATTAGATTGGTGCTCATTTTGACCATTTGCCTCTCTCATTTTAATGACAGTGATTTTGTTGATCATCCATTCATAACATCTTTTTGAATTTGGAAAGCATTGAATTTTGGAGCTTCCAAATATATTCAAAAACTCATATTTAAATCTTTTTATTGACAATTCTCTTAAATTTACGGTTTTGAAAAGAAAAGATCCTGCCATGGTTTGCAGGAGGCGATATGCTGCTATGCAAGGTGTCCAGGTGCCATCAGGTATGGAAGCCTTGCAAAATGCACAAGAACAAGAAGCTAACAGCATGATACATGATTTGAGTGGGTTCTCTGTATTGAATTTTGACAGGTGAAGGGTCCAGCCAATGGCCACCTTTTGCGTCATCATCAATGGCTACTGTAGATGCAGTCTCTTCTGTAGTTAGTATGTTAAAGGGTACCATAGAACGCAAGAAGATGAAGAGTAACCAGATCATCAAGGAAACGGTTGAACCAAGTTCTTTCGGATTTTATGGGGCCCAAGAAGTTACGGGCTCTATGAATTCTGATAAAAAACCAATAATCAAGCAAGTTCCTCAGGCATCAAGAAATTTCCAAGTGGCATCCTCTAATCCAGTGAATGACACTGAGATTTTGCAAACAATTGACGGACCCTTAGGGCTAGAAATAGAAGATTTTTCTGGGCCTACGAATCAGTTCCAAATGGGCAATTTGTATCATGAGCCATCACAAAGTGAATCATCAGCTGCTGCTCCTGTACTTTCCAATGGGATCGAAATATGTGATGGTCCTACCAATTCAGGGCAAACAGTATCTGTATGCGAGAGCTCAAGGAAACAAGCTGGCAATGGAAGTCCAGCATGTAGCTCTAAAGCCAGAGGTAGGCTGCAGTGCAAAGTTTGTGAACCTTTTTGATAAATTTCATCTTGTCAATATTCTGTATAGCATTGTTATTCTATATGAAAGCAGTTTGAATTTCACTTGACCCTAAGTACATTCTTGATAGCACATCGGTAATGTGCTTGAAATTTGAAATGCACCACTACAGGGTTTTCCCAACAATTGTTTAATGAAATTCCAGAAAATATCCAGATAGTACCTGGAACACTGGTATATTTCATAGAGGTGGACCAAAAATTTAAATTGTTAGTACAGTACTTAGACTCTGTTTTCCCCTTCAAAATGAATTAAGTTCAATATATTGGACAAAACCGTTTTAAACCAGGTGTATGATAGTCGTTTAAAACTTTAACGGGTTAGGTTACTGTCATGATGTTTCAAGTTTCTTGACCACATACATGATCTATGTATGTGTGCCAGGTTCTGCCCCAATATTTTCCCCATAAATATATCTATTGCTTCCTTTTATTTGGGTAAATATTGCTTCCTATTTTGTTAGAACTTCTTTTTAATACTGTGTTGTAGTTCTTCTTAGGAAGTAATTTTCTTCTCTCTCTCTTCTACATGTGTGAAATAGGCCTCTAATACATAACCTTTTGGTGCTTCTGCATATCATCCTATTGCATACCGACTTTAGCATTGTTATCGAACTATAGTACATGATTTAGATGCTGCCAATGTAGAGAGCGGCTCAACTCCTCTTGGATTTCCACTAAAATAACCTTGGACAGTTGTTTACCAGTAACCAGTGCACATCGCATTATGAATAACACATTTTCACCGCCTCTGTGAAGTGTAACCTGATTCATTCTGAGCACTTACTAATGATCTGGCATTTCCTTTGCCTCGATACAGACTATGGAGAGAGAGCATGTGAAAGTAATCTAAATGATGATCTCAAGGTATATTTTTTTAATGTCGACATCTTCTGAGATGAGTAAAACCAACATAACTTAGATTTTTTTAATGTGTCTTAAAATTATTTGTATTGATTCATAATGCCTTCATAATGTTATGGCCTTTTTGAACAGAAAGGAAATCATATTGTTCGAATGGGGTCCATGACATCAGGAGGATCAGGTAACTGTTGCCTTATTAGTATAACCAGCAATAGCTTCTTGTGTTCCTTGATTGATTTACTATTTGTAATATTCATTTCTTGCATGTGAACTTCTAGATTTGTCCCATTCTGCAGCATAAAGACAAAATCAGTTTCGCAACATTTGTTGTCGATGGAAAGTACACTATATTCAAAAGGACAACAACAAAAAATTTTAGTTTCTTGTGTCTTCACTGTCTATTGAAAAGACTGTGATGAGAGTGGGATCCACCAGACAAAATATGACCCCAATAATTGGCCTATTTCTCTCTCTAGGACCACTCGTCGTTCTAATGAATGGTGCTGCATAGTCCATTAGGCTATAGTAACTCCTTGTCTTTCCGACACTATCAAACACGAGAGTGAATCGGTGTTACCTCGACACTTCTCCAGGGGACTTGTGTTGCATGTCGATATATATGTCGACACTTTGACACATTTTGACATGCCTAGACACGGCACTGACACTTATTCCATATGTGTCAGCTATAGTTTTGTGTGCCTAGTACGTGTTGACACTTGCAGTGGAAGTGTGAGCATTACAAACATGGCATGTATTTATCTTTTCAAGGTAAACCCAACAGGATTTGGTTGCTGGGTGTGATAATGTCTCATCTACCACCCATCATCGTTTATATGTACCTTGAAAAGATAAAAGACATGCTGTGTTTGTAATGCTGACACTTCTACTGCAAGTGTCAACATGTACTAGTCACTCAAAACTATAGCCGACACATACGGGATAAGTGTCAGTATATATATTCATAAGAACTAGATGCTACAGTTCTTTTTATTTTATAAAAAGAAATTGAGAGGATTAGAACTCTAGATGTGTCTCAAAGAAGAGAGTCTACCACGTCAACCAATGTACCTATGTTGTTGATTTTTTATTTTATTTTATTATTATTATTATTATTATTATTTTTAAAGAATGGTATAGCTTCCCTCTTTTATTAAATTAAATGCCCAAGAGGGGATTGAACCTTGGACATGTTATGTCCAATATGGCCACTCTTAGATGGTGATGTTACAAAAGTGACTCATTATTTATATAACAGCAAAATAGTACATACAATATATCCTATTTAAGAATTGTACGGATGTGTGTGGAGGAACTGGGATTTGTAGCCCACATATTAGATACCCCAATACCTATTGGACATTGACACCTGTATCAGTGTTCATGCTACACTAGAGTGAATGCACCTGCACTAAGTCCATCTGAGAGGCAAATGCACATTTCTAGTGTTTGGTTTCATGCATACACAAATGGGACTAGTTTGTATGTGCTGTTATACTAGTTTGTATGCACTGTTATGTCTCTATCCGTTTTAGGTCTTTGTTGATCGGTAGCGATGGGTTCATCATATTGCTGTAAGAATCAGGAATCGATAAAAAGATTTTCATCATATTCCTGTTTATGTATTGAACTTTGAAGACTAAGTGGTTAATTGCAGAGTTACATATAGTGATGTGATTTTACTGACAGGAATAACTCAAATCTAAGAGAGGAAACATAAACAAAATTAAGGAATGAACTACTTTACAGAATGGAATCTATTGTAAGTTCACTTAATTAGTTGGGAGATTGATTTGAAAAACTGCTGGTTTTCTATTGTTCTTTCAAAACAATAAATGGGTTTAATGTCACATTTGTTCTTTCTTAATGCTTTGGGATTCAACTATTTAATGTAAAGAGAAATATGAATGGAGAAAACTTGGAGAATTTGGATAAATTTAGTACAAGTTTGATTATTTTTTAATAAATAACTTAGACCGCTAAATGAAATGGTAGAATGGTTGGGTGTGTATCAATATTTGGAAACACAGATTGGTGGGGTGTATCATCCATCCTCCAGATCCATGTTGGATTGGTCCATTTGGTGATCTGGAGAAATATTAATAAATAAAAAATAAAAAGTGGGGTTTATTTGGGTGGGGTGGGTGTTGAAGGAGGGGCCCAGGAAAACATTAGATAAACTAAAAGAAAAAGGTAAAAAATATTTTTTGGGTTTGTTTTTTGTCTTTTTGGGGAGGGGGTGTGACCGCTTCCTTCCCAGAACCGGTGCAGTCCCAGCCTATTCAAGGTCCAGATTGGCAATTCCTGATCTGTGTCACCGGGTTTGCAAACACTAGTATGTATGAAGTGCTACAGGAAGCAAACAGATCCCAGATGTATGAAGTCTGTCTCATTGGAGTTCCACTCCTGACCAACACATCACCTGTTTCATTGGCTTGCTCGTGCATGTGCTGAAGTGAAGTTTCCAAGAAGAAAGAAATCTATCGGAAAATTGGAAAGTTTAGAAAATAAATTTTTTTTTTCAGTGTTATCTTTACTTTTGGTAGGTCGGCTTATTTTGCAAGAGGGGTTTGAAACCAAGACCTCTCTCACTCAAAACAGGGTGTTTCACTAGTAACATTTGGGAACCATGCAAAGTCACAGAAGTTCTTTATAAAAGTTTTCAATCACAGATAGGAGGAATTCACGAATCCCAGAGAAACTTAATAATCACTAATTCACACTTGTTATCAGAATAAACCTAGTAAAACACCACTGACGAAGATATAATCTAATTCGCTTTGTGTATTCTCACGCTCTTACTAGAAATTAATGGGCTGCTATTCTCTCTTTGATGCCCCAACTACTGCTCCTACTGTCATGCATCGTTCCTTCCTCAAATTTTGCATTCTTTAGCCTTTCTTTTGATAAATTTTGAAGGTGGTATTATTTATCTTGCTGCATTTTCTCTAACTACTTGAAGGCCTGCAGTGGACAAGGGGGACCCAACAAAGAAGCGCAGGGTGGAACGTTCTCGCAAGTAAGGACTTTTGAATCATAGCTTCTTTAACTTGCTTTTATTGTACTTTTATTATTCTTTGTTATTTCCATGCATATAAATAGCAATATATACTCCTGATTTGTTAGCACTATATGCAAAGTTTATACGAATTTACTTTCTCGAGGATTTTATATTTCTGGCTCTGTAAACTATACTTCCATAACTCCTGGATTTTTTGGTTTTTCTGTACTTTAATATAGTACTCAAGATCTGGAAATATTTTTGATATCATGCTGTTTGTTTAAGGAGTACTTATAAATTGAGAACTTTGGACTACTCATGTTAATCCTATGGAAAGCGTTTCAGGCTGGTAATTTTCTTTAGAGTTGAAAGTATTATTACTTCTGAGCCTCATCTATGTTATTCAATGCAGTGTTATCATGACTGGACCAGACCAGCTGGTTGAACCACCTATTGGACCCTTGGCCAGTCCAGTTACGTCATTAAACCAAAAAGGCCATAAAATTGGTCAAAAACAGCTATTTACCAGTTGAACTGTTCTGAGCAGCCATTTTTGCTGGTTCTCTGAACCTTATTCTGTCCCATAATTTGGATCTTTCGGCCTAGTTTTGGCGGGATCTTTCGAGTATCTTTTTGCTTATTCCCTATTTTCATCTTTCACCTTAACCCACCTACCATATTTGCAATATGCTCTCTCAGTGTTAGCCAAGCATATTGACACTCACCAAAAACCGACCTAGTTTTTCTCTTTGCTCTAACTCCTCTCCTGAGCTTTGGCCAAACTTCACAATTTAAAGCCACATTGTGACTCAATGGAAACCCTACCTTGTTTTTCTTTCTATTCTCTTTCCTTTTGCAACCTTTTTTTTTCAACTCTCTAGCATGATTTTGGAGTTATTTTTTCCCCCCTTTTCATTTCTTCTTAGTCTCTTTGTCAGGCACTTATTGTTTTAGATAGAGGTCTTAATTCGCTACTTTTGAGCACAAAAACTAAGTTATTGTGTTAGATTGCTAGTCGTATCCACTACTTTAGAGCTCAAAAACCATGATCGCTGGAGTTGTAAGCTCCAAACCGTAGGTTCCTTTTTCTTTCAGATTTGTAACTTATTTTCTCTTATTTTTGTTGAAAATTAATTCTCTGACTTTTATATTTATTTTTTTTAAAATGTTTAGAACTGTCCAAGTGGTTTCAAACGGACCAGCTCCTTCACCAGTTCACTGGCCAGTACAATTTTTATGACACTAATTCAATGGAAAATATTTGAACTGCAATTGGAAAATGATGAAACCAGAAAACATAGACTGTATGATCTTTAATTTACTTAGCACATTAACAGAGTTTCTCATGTGTCCTTGGGTCAAGACCAGTACCTCCCCCTTGGAAACGATACTTTCTGTTTATGCATTTTCTAGACATACTAACATTATTAATGAGTCCTTCATGATGCGAGGGTTGATATTGATAGATAATCAGTTGTTGATTTGTATCAGTAGTTTGACTTTGAGGCTCTTGTATATATTGAGCGAAGTATATCGAATGTCATTAATTTCTAACCTTAAAAACATGGATATATCTACATATGATTCCCTAATTCAAAACAAGCATACTACCCTTCACTAAATTTCTAAAAGACTCCATACATGCTCATATTCTGAAACCACACCTGACCACAACATGGACAATAATCTGGATGTATAATATTCAAGATATACAATATAATCTCTGCACTTATCCTCGAAGAAGCAAATGACAATCCTAGACTGATAAAAGCAGTAGTCTATTGAATGAATGAGCTGGTTGGTGGTTGTGAACATGTGGATGAGAGGTGGGCAGGCAGGGTGAAGTTTTCCTCGTCCTTCGCACTAGCCAAGGCTCTTCCATTTCCACAGCGAGCGAGACCCTACTGAGAAAAGGAATTGCTTGAGGACATTAGTATCCGATATTTGGTTGTCATCCTCATTATAGTCCTCCTAGATAGCATTTTGTCGGAATCACTATCTTTTCACCTTTGTAGTCCTATTCGTAATAAGTACTACAGCCCCAATTATGGTTACCAATAAAATAGGACTGGGAACCAAAAAAATCAGCCTGTGAAAAGCAAATTGCCTAATGTTTCTGAATTAGTCCAGTTTCATCCCTTCCTGGCATAAATTGCATATTAAATAGCAGTTGTCTTTTTGCTGGTTGGTAGTAATGGAATGTTTCATTATCTAAAATGAAGAACATTTCCCACCAAAATATCTGTCCAATAATATCACTCATAGGTAAACAGCGCAATACTGTTTCGTGACTATCTGATATTTGAATAATTGAACGTCATAGTCCACAAGCGAAGCGTTCTTTTGAGCTGACATGTTGTCCATCTCTGACTCACGAAATAACAATTTAAAAAATAATTGATTTTTCTATTCAAATTTAAAAAATAGCCTGCATTTGGACTATTTTTCTTCCTTTTCTATTCAAATTTTGATATTTCTTTTTAAATTTTGGTCACTTATATTAGATGAGCATGTATGCAAAATTTAGGGTCCAACAGATTCCTCTAGCTCCAACATGCTTATGGTACAATATAAGCCAGTGGGAGCGCACACGCACACTCATGTATTATACCCACATTTACAGATACACATGTATATGCTTGAATAGCAGGATTACTATAGACCATATTACTATATACAAACTAAGCGAACATCATAAATATTGCTAGCAAACTAATATAGAGATGGGCTAAAACTTATTAGCAGGGTTACTATTTTTGGGTGATTCAAGAAAGTAAGGAAGCTTGCATGTCTCTTGTTATCTTTTTTTGCTTTTTATTCATGAAATGTGCATTACCATTGATATTCTTTGATTTCGTTCCACAATTATCTTTTTCCATTTGGAAAAACCTACACTTAAAAAAGAGTGCTGAAAAAATTCCCTTGGTGGTTTAGGATGGCAGAGGCAAAGGGAAAAAGTCAAATTCCCCCAGTTCCATCAGACATGCAAGCTATTTTGAAGCGTTGTGAGAACTTGGAGAAGGAAGTTCGCTCCCTCAAATTAAACTTGTCGTTTATGAACAGGTAACTGCCAAATCACAAAATTGTAACACCTTTAGTCTGTAGAGTTTCTTGAGTGGATGGTGACACCACTTATGGAGAAAAGAATATTCTTGCATCCAGGAAGATTCATTTCTTGAAAATAAAAAATGATGTGTTTGTGCACGCGCATGTTGCACAAAGTCTACATTGCTTGTCTTTTGTTCTTTGAAGAACCAGCATTCCATGACTGTCTCTCTCTCAGGAAGGACTCTGAGCAGACCAAACAAATAGAAGAGCTGCAGAAGGAAAATGAGGATTTAATGGATGAAAAAGAGCGCCTTCTACAAGAGATTGAAAGGATTATCGCAGAACCAGGAAGGAGCTAAAACTCAAAAAGGAGATCTTGCGATCCATGATCAAAGTGCCTTTGGTCTGTGAGATCAGCTTGTTCCTCAAACTTTGGATAGAAGTATGAATTTATTCTCATTCATTCCAGTTCATACAGAGAGAGAGAATGTTATATAAGTATCGTAAAAGCTTCTAAGAAAGGAAGAAGTGATAAAATGTTTATAGAGCACTTCAAAAATACTAAGTCTCGAGGGATGTATCCATTATATTGTGAATGGGATTCTGATTGACCTTCAACATCATGTGTATTTACTCTTTTACATTGTACCCTCTATTTGGAGCTAAACTTTAGGCAAAAGAGTAGATGGTGGTTCAGGCATAAGTTTTGAGAGTGCTTTACCCTAAATTGAACCGGTCCCATACTTCAGGCCCTGATGAGGCACATGTGCTTGGCCCGTCTTTTTTTGACCCCTGATTGGTCTCTATTGCTTCCTACATTTGTCCTATTTCTTAGACTGTGATTCAACGCCCTGATGAGGCACATGTGCTTGGCCCGTCTTTTTTTGACCCCTGATTGGTCTCTATTGCTTCCTACATTTGTCCTATTTTTTAGACTGTGATTCAGCTAAAAGCGAAACAAGTATTTTTTTGTGGAATTGTATACAATGAGAGACCATTTACTTTTGGCCCAAGGAAGCTACAATTACTAATAACCATCCGATGTAAAATCTGTTAGCTTATGTGTGTCACAAAGTTGGAGAAAATTTCTTTTGAACTTTGAGTTTAGTCGATGGAATAAATGTAGCCACCCAATTTCATTGGTCAAAATTAATTGTGATCACCTTGTACTATAGGTAAATGGTCTCATTATATACTTTTCCATTTTTTATTGTGGTGTTAAAATGAAGGGTTTATTTAAGGCCTTTTTTAAAACAAGCAAAGAAAGATGAACATGTCGTGGAACAGATAGTTCAGATAATAAAATGCATTAACACGTGAGATTTCATGTTAGTCCGTTGGTGAAGAAACTCATTTTGGCCCAATAGAGGGCCCAATCTCACTTGCTCACTTTCGGCCCATGGTATACAACAATGGGCCTTTCTAGCCATTTCAGCTTTCATGTCGAGCCACTTCAAGCACAGTTTCAGGCCAACATTTAGATCGGTTGAGGTCATTTTCTAATCCTACCAAGAAAAAAAATAAAAACCAATCGTCTCCAGTTAGTGTAAGATTAGAATGTTCACTGTTGTATCTGAGTGACAAACTAAGGCTTACAAAATCAGGCAATGGTAGCACGAAATACTTAGGTGTATATCCAAATGAATCCTTGGCATCATATCCTAAAGGAATCGGCATCCACCGGTGATTATCCACTTCCTATAAGGAAGTTGTGGGCAATTTTTCTAGAGCATCTTCCCCACCCACAAACATATAGAAAACTGTATCAGCGAACAAAGAGCTCAGAAAGAACCGTCCAAAGATTTCACTAAGGGCATAGGTTACTCATCCTTGTTGATGATGTACTAGTATAATGGCTATATCTCATTCATTTCCAAAAGATGCAAATCTTATCAAATGGTAGTGCAGAGTACTAATGGTTACAATATGGCTTTCAGGAGGGGCATGATCAGCAGGTGATAAATTACCCCATTTTTATCATCGCCTACTCCCGTAACACTAAAAATCATATTTTACATTATAACCTCAAGAAAATGGAAAGTAATATGGTAGTACACAGATTAGTTCCTCATCCATACACCATCTAGGGTTGGAAGTGGATCTGACAGGAGGTTAATCGATTTTCCTATCTGATCTGATCCTCAGGCCCAATATATGCCCTCATCGAGCAATATATGATGCAGCAACCTTCAAGAGCCATGTTATGACCATTTGTTTGATCCAAAATTTAAAATATACACTCTTTTTATTCTAATGAACCATTAAAAAAAATAAAAATTTGAAAACACAACCTAAAAAGCATTTTTTTAACCCAATTAACATCGGCCGTTCATTTTAATGAGATGCTTAGATCTAAACCTTAAAAGGATTTTTTCATTTCCTATTTGTTTGGATAACTTGATTATCATTAGATGAAATAATGCTAGAAAAGAAAAAAATGATTTTGAGTTTATAAAAACTAAGATCTTAAAATTCACTAAATGAATGGTCTAGATTCATTTTTGAAAGGGACTCATTTTGATCATATCTAAAGTTCAAATAGAATTTTTTTTTTTTTGAGATTGATTATTGAGATGAAAAGAATGTATGTAAAATTTTGAATAATACAAATACCACAAACATGGTTTACTAAAAGTGTCGTTGCATTATACTATGATTAACCGTTGGATAAAATCAATGCCCAAACATCATCTCTTCATATTGCCAGAGGAGACTTTAATATTACAATTATCTCTCACATTAAAAAAAGCGTCCTTTTCCCATCCTCATAATACATACAATCAGTAATCAAGAGAGAGAGATTAAACCCATTTCTCCAATTCCTCACCTCATATAAACCACACCCACCACCACCCCCCAGCAACAACAAAAAAGGGCAAAAAAAAAAAACAGCATTTATTTTAATAGATCATCCCCATCTAGTATATTTCATCATCTGGTATCTCTGGGGTCAAAAACTTTTGCGGATCCTTCATAATCTCCTCGTAATTATACTTGGGCTTCACCTTCTCAGGCACCGGAACAAGTGGTATTATGGTATCCTGGTCAATAACGCCATCAATAATCCCATACTCCACAGCCTCCATAGGTGACATGTATCGATCCCTATCAATGTCCTTTTGGACTTGCTCAAAGGTTCTCCCTGTGAAGCCAGCTATGATCCTGGCCACATTGTCCTTGTTGTGCATAATTTCACGGGCTTGTATTTCCACGTCGATGGCTTGGCCACTAGCTCCACCAAGCGGCTGGTGTACCATAATCCGGGCATTGGGCATGGCAAGGCGCTTGCCTTTGGTGCCACCACCAAGAATAATTGAGGAGGTGGAAGCTGCAATCCCTAGAGCGATTGTGGAGACATCGGCACGAACAAGCTGTACCACGTCGTAGATTGCCATTGTGGCACTGGAGAGAGAGAGAGAGAGAGAGATCCATATAAGCATGAAATCAACAAATAGGTTCATGTGAATCATGTTTTTGTGTAGGTGTATGTGTGTGTGTGATTGTTTGTGTTTTTCTTTACATAGATACATACATTACTATGTAAAATACACATACATGGGTATATATAACATACATGCTTTCTTGGTCCATGTGGACGCACACGCAATCAGTAAAATGTACCTACAGGAGCAGTTTTCAAATCCTTAGCCAAGAAAGGTACTTTACTATACTTCAGCTTCAATGCTTATTTTCAAAAGCTCAGATGAATCAAAAAGTCCCCCAAATCCCAGAAAAGAGCTTTGTTCATTCTTGATTCCTTGAACCCAAGCTACCCCTTTCTTTTGGATATACTCCACTCCAACCAGCCAAATGAGTATAATTTCTGTCAGGCATTAGTTGTCACCAATTCAACCAAAGAAATCCAAAGTGGAAAAACAGTATCAACTTCAAGCAATCCACTATTCCACTTTATGGAGCTTTCTTTCCAATACGGTCATGGGAAAATGTAGTCCCTTTATCTGCAATTTTCGGTCCACATAGACCCTCGGGTCCATGTAAACCCCGAAGCCTCTCCCACTTTAAAAAATCAACCTTATGCCCTTTCCCACCTTTTTTTTACGTGTAGAATATATAGAAATATCCTTATTCTTTTCAAAGTACCAAAATCACCCAATCTCAAAAGTACTCCCAGAACCAAGCCTGAATTTGGCTGGAAAATGGCTGGTAACTTGCCGAGGAACCAAGAAACCCCAAAAGCCAATGGCTGCTTCAGGCTGGACTCTCCAGATTCTCACCAGGAAACCAATTTTTTCCAGTGAGTATTCTAATTCATGCATTTTGTGCTTCTCTTGTGAGCAAAACTCTCTCTCTCTCTCTCTCTCTCTCTCTCTCTCTCTCTCTACTACTA